CTGATGTGTAGGTATTTCTATGCCATGCCCTGGAGGCTGGAGGCAGTTGCTGATAGGGATTGTGATCGTGAAAGCTTCCTGAGAAGGAAATCCTTCCAGGAGAACAGAGAAGGAAATGGCAGACAGAAGTGCTGGAGGAAGGCCAGGGGGCCACACACCACAGCTAAGCCCCAAACAGCGATGTGACAAGAGGAGGAAGGTGCGACTCCAGCACACCTCTGCTCCTGCCTGCTGGAATAGCCCCTCTGGGAGACAGGGACCTCTGCAAGAAGTCAGAAAGCTCCCGAAGCACTTCCTAATCCCCAGCCTTTAGCTAAGATTAGGCTGAGCACGGGGCAAATGCAATGGTGGCAACTGGTTACCTGGCTGCGTGGGGACAGGCTGGAGGAGGGAGGGATCCCGCATCAGTGGGCACGCAGAATCTGTGCAGTGTCCTTACCAGAGAGGCAGAGAGGGTAATTTAAACAAACAAGGCCCCAGTGATGGAAATTTCTATCTCAAAGCCACCATATGGAGGGAAATCATCTGACCACAATTTACCTGTTAGACTTCAAAAGTGTCTAGGTCTCCCCTAAAGAAAAGCAGCCTTTTCTTTAATGAAGTTAAGTACTGTATTTCAGCACCGTGTGTTGTGAAAAGGAAGCAATTTGGATTCATTTACTGAAATTTACCTTTCAGATGCAGTTAAGTGAAATTAAAAGTTTGTCTGAGTTGACAGAGTTCTGTTTTCCATCACTGCATTGTCTTGAAAGAAAGGATAACAGGCTAAGTGCTTAAATTCCATCCAAACTGATAAGGCTCACTCTACACAGGCACACTTAGTGCAGTTTATTACACATTGTCTCCCTTCATCTATCATTGGTATAACTTTTATTATTTTCCCCTAAAATAATTGTTGCTTCCAGAAGAAATTGATATTTGTGATGTTATTGCATTCGTCTGGGGTTGAACAGTCTGCACTGGGCTATCAGAGAAATGCCATTTCCAATTACAGGGGGAATTCATTTTATTTCCCATTAATGGCAGGCTTTGCAGGGCTAAGCTTACACCTGGGACAATAATCTCTTTTTCTCTTGTCTGATTCTTTTCCTTGAATTCCTTTTCTATACAAGTGAAGCATCTGTGCATCCTCAGTGTCTTCCCAATGCTGTCTTTGCCCAGATCTCTGCCTCAGCAGTTGGAGTGAACCTCTGATTTGCCCATGATGTCCTTCCTAATTTTTTATTCTCACCACTGCATTTCTCTCTTTCACATCCTCCAGCTGCCATCGCTCCTTCCAAACCTCACGCCTCCTGAAGCATCCTCCCAGCTACTAACTCCCCTCCCTCCCTTTTCCCAGGGAGCTTCCCTCCTGCCCTGCTGAGGGCCACGGGAGCTGTAATGCTCCCACTCCTCTTGGGAGAGGTTCTCTATTGTTTTGGGCTGCTTGTCTGTAACCTTAAACTGTTTGCCTGACCTAGAACAAAGGTGCGCCACTGATTTGGCCTTTGCTCACTACTCTGAAACATCACAGGCATCTCTGTTCTTTCAATTTACTTAGCAGCTCTTCATGAAAAGCCAGTGAATGATCTGTAATTAATTATATATTACAAGGAGAAGCTTAGCTAACACAGTGTCAACAGGAACAATAACATACTCTGTGTGCCAGACTACAGCCTTACAGCACGAGGGTTTTTCCTCCTCGCTGCCCCAACTGACTTCTGGCTACTAGAGCTAGCTAGGGTATTAATACTGTCTCCATTCAAATTCCTCCCAATGACAGACTTCATATCTGCACCTTTCTGCAAAATCAAGAAGTTAGAAGAAATATCCTGCTACTTGAAATCTCCATTTCATTCTGGTTCTTGACAAACAATTTCAAACACGAGTTGTAGCCAGGCAGGGCTTTTTCATCTTGTTTAGATTTGGAGGGAAGGAGGCAGATGGGAGAGGAAACCACACATTTCATCAGTTTTTTACTTTTTTAATAGCCTTCACTGAATTGTTCAGTGAAGCCTATTACCCAGGAGATCAGCAAATCTTAGCTCTGTCAGAGACAGGGAGAAGGCAGAGCAGGAGCTTTCTCATCCTCCACAGCGGTACTAACCTTCAAACACACAAATCTAAACACCGTCCACTCAGGGGTGCCAACTCAAATGCCTCAGCTGTTAAGACAGAACAAAAAGGAAAGGACAATCTCCAAGGTATAGCTGAAAGTAAATATTAATAATGATGTGTGACATTAAATGATGACTCATTTTTCATGAGGCCATTTCAGATTGTAGCTATAACCTCGGATCAGACCAGAAAGACTGTGTGAGCTGAAGTCTTAGTGGAACAATTAATTATGGATTTCCTGGCTTTTATAGGCTGGAGTCAGATCTTTGATGTTCCTTTAAGATAGTTCTCCTGTGTTCATTTCCTTTGTTTCTGTGCTGGTAGCTTAAAAAAACACCTTAAGATTTCCATAGGAGTGTAGGAGATAGCCTAGAGATCCATAGTCCATAAAAGCCCTGCAGTTCATGGCTCATAAAGTCCTGTAATCCATGGTCAATAAAGCGTTGGAAAAGAGCTGTATGAACCATGGTCATTTCACAGTTCAATGAGGTTCATACAAGAATCAATAATCTGGTTTAAATTCGCCTGGATTTGTGCTCCACCTGTAAATTTCCCTTTGACTTTTCAGGTTAAAAGGTGGCTCAAACAGCTGAATTCTGAAGACCTTGCATGCAAACAATGAATTTTATACAGCTTTTACGCCCCCCCCCCCAAAAAACATAATAATGACCTAAATCCCTTTACTTTGTCTCAAAGTCAAGTTTCAGATGACAAGAGGTAAATTACGAAACTCAAAGTGGAAGAAGAACCATTAGGAGAGACTGAGCCACAGCTCAGCATAACACTAGATGCACAGAGCTCAGTCCACACAGTGACATTACATCCAGAAACAGGACGGGGGGCTCCAATTTAAGTACATGCAAATGCGTAATGGATATGTAGACATGCCAGAGTATGAGCTTCCAGTATATCAGTTATCCTCCAAAAATGAGTGTTAACAGTCTCACTGTTGAGTGCTGGTGAACATTATTGGGGCAACACAGTGTAAGCTCACATGCTTTGCCCATATTATTATTTTTCCTACCTGTTTCCTCCCAGGAACGATTGTGCTACAAAGTCTGGTGACAGGCACAAATTTCTGCTCTTTTCTTGCCAATCAGGAGGGAACCAGTTAGAAAGAACACACTGTTTATTGCCTTGTGCAAGGTCCAGCTTGCAATTAATACTGATGAAACACAACTGCCAAAAGCACAATATGCAGCAGCTGGTTTATGACAGTTGAGACCCTATCCAATTTATGGGGAAACCAGAGCTGGTAGTGAGTCTGTGATTTAGCTGAACAGTTTGTAGTTTTTGTTTTGTTTTGTTTCCAGGAAAACACCAGAAGTTGCTCCAGAACTGCAGAAGCACTAAATCCATCTGAAAGCACCAAGGCAGACTTCTCTTATTCCAGCCTTTCCTCATTTCTAGGGCTGTGATCTCCCACTAATATCTCCCTGGGATCTTTCAGCAAGCAGGCTACACACAGAGTCTGGTTCAGCACCAGCGTGGTGGGAGCGGAAACTTATGTTTCCTCATCCCAATCTCCATCCTAATGAAATGGAAGTAAAAGGGATAAAAGGTTTTGATTCAGATGAAATCTCTCACGAGCACTGGGTGAATAATTTAACTCTAACCTGGAGAGCTACCCTTTTAAAGACTTTTCCTAGGAATATTTCTTACTGAAATAAAAACAACAAAAGGCACAAAGTCTGCCAAAGCTATGCAAGCACCACTGCTTTAAGCTCCCAGCTGCACATTTCCATAGCCCTATCAGGCCCAATATCCAATATCCTTTCCGGATAGATAAGAAGGGGGCAGGAGGAATGTGGCTAACTGCCAGGATCCTGCAAGATCTGACTGTTTAAGCACCCCACTTACACTACTGGTAAGGTGAGCTGGCCTAGACAGCCATGTGGAACACTGGGCCATCGTGGGACACCACGATTTGGCATGTCCTAGGTAGAAGACATACAGAATTCCCTCGTATTTGAGGTAATGAACTATGTAGGACCAAGTGCTTTTTATCTCATGCTTAAGCAACCTCAGTAGAGAGGATCCAACACTGAACACTCCTTAAGAACAAAACAGGTCTGATTCTTCTTAACAAAGCTGGCATTGACATCAGATATACCCTTGTTACAGCAAGATTTTTATACACCACTGAAATAACAACCCTTATATCACTTATCCCAAGAAAAGAAAATAACAAACCACAATAAAAAAGGCAGCAACTGCTCCTTAAAAAGAATGACTAGTAATAATAATAATAAAAGAATGCAAATATGTAGAGTTTTTTCCTTAGTAAAGGCAGAAGCCTCCAAGAGACTCTGACTTACTTGGATTGCTATGGAAAAGCACTTTAGGTGCTATGAAAATGGGAATAAGATTAATGCCAACAGAGAGACAATAATGATATGTACAGGTGAGCAGCCAGTTCCCAGTTTGTTGTTTTCAAGGCAACCTGAGGTGTTAAAAACATTTCAGCCCCAGAACACAGAAGACTGTCAGATATCTCAAAATCTTGAAAACTCCCAGGAGGAGTCTAAATGGTTGGAAAATGGCTCAGTCTTTGGGCTGAAAACTGACAGTAAATATTGGAAAATAATTAGTGGAAGTAGGGCAAAAAGAACATTTTCCCTTGTCATTTTTTCCTGTTTTTACTCTGGTAACTGTTTGTTTCTGTATGTTTTAAATATTCTGAGTATTAGCTTTCTTTCTCTTGACTTGTAGATTAAATGTTCCTACGAGCCTTCCTCCAAGTTTTTCATTATGCTCCAAAAACAACACCTCACTCTCCATCTCTCCCATTTAGCCGTTCTCCAACCCTTCTTATGGCCTATCAACAAAGGCTGGGATCAGTAAAGGGCAACTATTTAGGAGACAACAGGATGAGGACAAGAGCCATAAAAGTTATGACTCACCTGTCTTCTATCCGAACCCAGAGGTCATTGAATTGCCTCTGGCGATGATGTTTGTGCTGCTTCTTGTGCCATTTCTTCTGCCGGCCAAACTCTTCCAGCTGGCTGATACTGTCTGGCAGCAGGAGGTGAGGAGACAGGCTGTCTTCTTCATCCATCTGCTGGGGCTTCAGGGAAGGAGACGTCAGTGGGACCTGCTCAGAAAGCTGGAGGGCAGGCAGGGCTGTTGCTGAGGACCCTTCAAAGGCTGGACTTGTCTTTGTCGTCCTTGAACTGCAAAACACATTTAAACATTTGGTGAACACGTGAGAGGCAATGCTAAGAAAAGGTGAAGACAGAGGACTACACTACTTGTTGGGTGCTGCTAGCTGCTAAGGAGGTGTACAAGGAGAGAGGCTTTGCTTTGGAGTAGTGCCTAAACACAGCAGTGCATTTCCTAGAAAACTACCAAGTAAACACCAATCTGAAAAAGGGTGAAGAGACAGACGATAAACCATTGTTGATTTCTTACATTTTAACCGTTTCTTACAGCTTTGGAGCTTCCTTTATGGGTTACCATCATATCCTGCAGTGGTCTGAAGGCTAAATGGCAAAACTGAGACACTGAGGAAAACAAATTGTCAACTAACTGAATATCCTAAGAGAAGCAAAACTTAAATGAATAAGGTGCCACTAGATCCCTTCTTTTTTTTTCAACTTTTGGTATCATCTGTGAGAAACAAATAATTGTTTTGACTGCAACACTAATTATATTTGTTCATCCGAGTAAGGACTGGTGATGGGGAAGCCCAAACTGATGACAGACGCACAGTCTAATGGCTGGGCTGCTGGGACAGGATTTGTGAGACCCAAACTATAGCAGTTTTTGTATAATCAAGAAGTGAGGCAAAAAAGGGAGTAAATGACCTCTCCCAGGGCACCACGAAACAATACTGCCAGAGCTCTTCACTTCTGCTGTTTGAAATACTACCACCTCTTGCATCTGACTGTAAATCTGCAGCAAAAGGCCTTCTATTGATTTCATCTTCTAGCGTTTCACTGATTTTAGAAAAAAAGTCAATATAAACTCTGTTCTTTGATATGTGGCCACGTCAATTTACATTTTTGAGCTATGATATCTGAAACAAAAATCTAATAAAGCACTACTGACACAACGGGATATTTTTTTTTTTTGAACTTCAGTAGAAGTTCCTGTTTGGTCTTAATTGCAAGAGAGGATGGTCCAATGAGTTGCAGGTAGAGAAAATGGAAGAGAAATAATAGGCAATATGAAGCTGTGGTCTGTGAAACTATTTCTATTACATGGATGCTATGACTTTTATGACAGAAACAATTAAAGCCACGTGAAAAGCTTTGCCTCCTGAGTGAAACCAGTAAGACATTTTAATGAAAAAGTAATAAGAAATCCTAAACTTCATTGGTGACAATGTACAAAATGTGCTGCAAGTGAAACCACATGTTTCATTTACGGAACATTTTGTTCTCTTCCAAAAAAGTCACATCTACTACTAATAACGGCAGCTTTTTTTCTTTTCGATATTTTTGATGTCCATTACAATGGCACTCAGGATGGTTGTATCTATTTCCACCGCATCACGTTTCACCTAAAGGTCCTTCCATCTTTACTAGCTACTGAGTATTAATTATTGCTGCTATGGGACTCACTGGCAACTACAGTAACTTTGTCACTCATAGCCAACATTAATGAAATTTTTTCAGAGATCATATGACAGATACAGAAAAGAAAGACACTTGTTTAAATTCTAAAATTCTCCAATGTTGCTTTCATTAATAACAGACCAAGAAGTCCCATACTTTCCTGTTTTTTTCCAAGTATTCAGACTTTCAGCAAATCAGTTTTGAACTCATTCACACTCATTCCACACTCTGTTTTTATTGCACAGAGAGATCTACTGGTTCTAGGTGTTTGTTTTTTTTTTTTCGAGTAAGACTTTCTCCCATGATTCACATTGAGGATGAGTTTTCATCAGTGCAGCAACATTCTTTGCAAGACCTTGGAGCTCTCCAAAGTTTTCATGCCTTTTTCACTGCATTTATGACTGTTTAGCAACACCATCTCCACAGTCAAGTAAAAGGAAAGGCTCTCACAGATTTCCAATGGATGGGTCCTTCAGGTCACAGAAGACACTCTTAAATTTTATCCAATCATGTTGGTGGACCAGTGAGGTATCAACGTGCAAATGCAGCCACTTAGTGGCTTGGAAGATAACACGCGGCAAACTTGGCAGGATGGTTTGGGCAGCTGGGAAGGGCCTGGACCAACCGTACACAAGCAGCAGGTGGGCAACTGCAACAGCAGTGGGCAGCAGAAATCCCTGGCCTCATCGCCTCCTGCACTTATGCCAAAGCAATGGGAATAGAGGTTGGTTGCTACTGCCCAAAGATAGATTGTGCTGGTACTACCCTAGATGCTTCTGCTCATCAGTGTTGTGCCAATGCACTCAGGTCTTCCTACAAGCCATCCACCCACATGCACATCAAGGTGAAGAGCCCCGACCCTGGCTACCAGGCTGCAGAGGGCAGAAACATGGTCAGAAGGCAAGAGAATGAAGCAGATGCAAGAACCTGAAGCTGAGCTGCTGCCAAATTTCTGTTTCCACTGGCTTTGTGGAACCAAAACCATGTCTCACGCTCTGATCAGTTGGCAGTGAGATCGCATCAGTAATTCCTCGAGATGCTCAAGGCAGGAGCAGCCCCCACATCAGACATCTGCCAGTAAAAGCCTGGGGCCACCACTTGGTTCCCTGAATGCTTTTAGAGACATCTGAACACATACTTTCCACCTTTTAACACCTACTATTTTGTTACACATGTTTATCTTGCTCTGAACTCCTAGTAAACTGGAATCAGTGGAGAGGTGTTTTTACGGGTTGAGATTTTAGAAACCACTTAATAGGACTGGCAGCTCACTTCTTATTAAAATTAATGAGTTTGGGCATCAAAATCCCAATGGTGGCTTTGAAAGCTTCTGGCTTAATTGTTTCCACTGCCATCACATGAGCCACAGGTTGTAAACTCGATATTTCAGAACATTCTTTGGGAAGAGAATAAATAAACATTGAAGAAATGTTAAAATGTTGTAACCCAAAGAGGGTCATAAACTAACCACTTGTTCTTTAGAGTTGACGCATAGGGAATATATCCATTGTGGCAACTGCATATTACATTTGGTCAATATTTGTTCCATTATTCCTCTACTACTAATAATTATCCCAAGGCCTAAGAAAGACTGTTGAAGATTATATGTTGATGCACGTTTGCATCTATATGTTTTAAGCTATGTTGAAGCACTGAAGCTTGAGAATATTGGGAATCAGAGTGGTGAAATATCCTTGGTAAAAACATCTGCAGACTCAATAACTCTTCCTAATAAATTGAAACAAAATCACACACAGTATGTGAAAAATAAAACGGTCTAAAAAAACAGATACAGTGACAATAACAAAAAGCCAATTAACAAGTTTTAGACATGTAAAAATGATTTGTTTTTTGAAATTGACTTAATAAAACCTAGAGGGCTAGTTGTTTCCAAATCTGATCATCGTCCTTCAGACATTTAACCAAAAGTAAAAATAAAATTTTTAATCCAGCAGAACATGCACATTTAATCCAAATACATTGTAAGAATAAAGATATTTCAATTCAAAGCAAGGTAGACTTCCTATCAGATGATAACCTTCCCACTGATTTAATTAATTTTTTTATTAATACATTTACAATGAATGTATTCCTATTCTGCATTTTCCCCCTAAAAAAAAGACCCCTCCCTCCCCCCAGTATTTGCAATAGGATACCTGGGCAATAGATCTCTTCGCTGCATGAAGCTTTACCATTAGATTCACTGATGATTTCATGGACTATTTCATGCCTTTCCTTTGGTCTCAGTCTCACTGCACTCTGTTAGCACAGCTGCACTGGATGAAACCGTGGGGATATAATATACTTTTTTTCACTCCTTCACTACTGCTGAGACAGCTTTTCAAGATACATAGCTATTTTTAAAGCCACAGAAAAGCAGAGCTGGTTTTCACTTTGTGAGGCCACAGTGCCTTTTCTTGAGGAGTGAGAAACTCTTGGGTGAGAAACCACCCAAATATCTTGGTCCACACAAAGATCTCGGAGATTTTTCATGAATAAGTTGATACAACTCCAGGCTCAGAGGTTCCACCCATTTTTAAATGTATCATTCCCACATGGGACAGTGTTTGAGAAACTAAAAATATTTCAGGCCCTTAGGTGGGTTTCTTTCATCTCTGACCTTAATTTCCTTTCCTGGGATGCACAGTTCTGCAAAACAACTTCCCTGAAATCATGCAAGTCCAAATAATAAAAGTAGGGAGTCTCAGCAAACAACCTAAGTTGCTTTATCCTATGGTACAGAAAATAGTGAAAACAGGAAAACATTTGTTCTTATTCATTCTTGAAAATGCTTAATCCCACAGACAAAGACCCCTGTGGTTTTGTTTCACTTCTGGTGGGTTTGCCATCCTTTTCTAATTCTTTTCAAGAATTAAAAGAACAAAACAAGACATGCAAGTAGATTAGGCAGTTGTACCCTCCATTAGACTGTCTCAGCATTTCTCTTTCTGCCTTGTGGTCTCCAGTGTCTCTGTTGGCACCGATCATAGAAATTTGACTCATCATCAGGATTTGCCAGGCTTACAGAGGGAATCTGGTCAGAAAAACAAAATGAACATCGTGAAGTCCTGTAATAGCTTCTTTTCATAATTCCCATGCTCATAATTGCTCTGGCCCTACTTCCCCTCAATCCCAAGCCACCTGGGAGTGCAGATGTGCCTTCCTCCCCACCAGGCTAGGACCCCTCCTGCCCTCACATCATCTGTCCAGTTCCTGCAGCTCAGAGGGCTGTGACCATCTCCTGAGTGGAACACCTCCTCCACAGGGCCACAAATTTGCCCTTGCTTTAGCTCATGAGATAGGAGATGCCATTCAGAGGCCACCACAGAAGCACCTCCTCTTACAGCCAACTCGCTTCAGCCACTCATCAGTAACAACAAGGAACCTGCTCCCCGAGACAACACTTTTTAAGCACTTTGCTACCTTCCACACAACTAAATCCTTCATCTAATTTTCAGCGATTTTGTGGTAACATCTTTGTTCACTTGGATATGCACAGAACCTCTTAAAACCCAAGTTTGCCAATTTGTTATTTGCATCTTGTCTTTGTGGTGTGAGGAATGGAAAAGCGCCGTTCAGCACACTGCCATGGTTTGCATGCACTTTCAAAGCAA